TTCGTCGGAACGAATTTACGGAAAATTAAGTAACGACTGGAGGCGTAACACTATCATTGAATAGTTACAATGTTAATGTGACACAAAACAGTCTAGAATAATTGCAGACTCAGATGTAGATAGCAAGAAAATCTAGGAATTATATATATTAAAATGCAGAATCCCTCACTAAACATAAACTCAGGCATTAAAAGGAAGTAGTATTACATTAACTGTTGTGTTAAATTCAAGAAGTTTTAAAAGAATTATTTTACTATTTTTACTGCTTCAGCGGTAAGTCCTATAACGCCAAAAACCAGGTTTCGATACTCATGGTGAGTGTAGTAGCACCCATTGTGTTGCTTTGCGCATAACAACAAACATAATATTGTACATTTTGTTCTCTCAATGTATTACAGAGCTACATTAAAAAAAAAAGAAAAAAAACTTAAATAATTTTACACTCTTTAAAGGTAATGAAAAAGAACAAAAATCGCTCATAAAATGGACTAAATGCGTATGGTTGGAAGTGATAAAGTGACTATAAGAACACATATGTATGTGTCCAAATCATAATATCTTATTGTAATAAAATATTATTTGGATGAAGGAGGGGATGACATGTTGCAAGACATTCACAATTATTCTTTTTCGTTATGAACCTTCTTTTTATTTACTTCTACTTATTTCAGAATATCCCGTAATGCTGTTCATATTAGTTTTATGGCCTGTTTTCTCTTGGGAAAAAATCCAATAAAATTATTTTTTAACATCTTCTGTTTTCATTTATTTCTGTTTGTGAACCGTGTATTTTTGTAGCAGAAAAAAGTGCCATATTTGATTTTGGAGATGACGTAAGGCAATTGGCTTGTGATACTTACGTCAGTTGTAACTGTTGCGTAGTTATTAACAGCTGAATGGAGGAAATATATGGTTACGTAGACTTATCAAAATAAGATTTTTTTAACTCCTTACGAAAACGTAACGTTAAGCACAACTTTAAGTTTTTAAATTAATATGGCGGACACTGATATCTTAACAACACTGAAAATTCTTATAATTGGTGAAAGTGGAGTTGGAAAATCCAGGTAAGCCAGCCATCCTAAACTTTAGCCTGAGTCAGTGTTTTACTGATATTAATTGATTGTCATACAAGTCAACATCGTTTCAAGGCTTGTAGTTGGAGTTTAATTACGATTTTGAAATTATGTTAAGCCTGGTTTATAATCTATTATGTACCCCTGCGATACACTCATTCAGACCCTCACATGTTACAGTTCTGTAAAAATGAAATGCATTGTAAAATATATAATTTAATTTTAAGGAATCCGTATGTTCTACATAATTTTAACATCGTTATGACATTAGCATTTGTGTGTGTGTGTGTGTTTGTAATTGTAGGCCATTCTTTACATTACTGAGCCTAACAGTAGTACTAGAGTAGCACTGTATCAGTGTATCATTAACGTAAACTATTCAGTGCTACAACAGTTACAAATACAATACATATAGTCTGAACAAGATTAATTGAGATTTCTTTTATAAGTATTTAACAAATTGATATAGCTAAAGCTGTGTTTCTAAACTTAAAATATTACTGGTACTGTGATAGTGATAGCCTGCAGAACAGATGTTGATGTACTACTAGTACTAGCCAGAAACAGTATTGTTACATGAAAACCAACAGTTTCTGAAATAAGTGATATTGAAAACAAATGATACTTATATCTTGCCTGTTGTGATGAGTTCAGAGTGCAGAATGGTATAGTTACCACCACTAGTGTAATGAAGTGATGATGATACCTCCCCTTTTCTGTTATTGTTAATTTTTTTTGTGCCTCCAATGGAGAACAGTAAAGGACATACCATATCAATTTACAGTTAGAAATATTTATTATTCAAGTTTTAAATACCTACAGGATGATAAAACTATAAAAGCAAAACAAGTTTTTTAATACAAGTTAATGACTAACCTATAACTGCTACATTTGCAAGTTGGCAAGTTCTGCAAGCTTTCTTCACTTCAAACATTTCCACCATCTCGTTGATGTCCATTTGTCTTGTCTTTTCAATGTTGATACTTAGCAGTGTTAATCCCTCAAGACTCTGCTGCTTCATTGTACTACAATAAATAGTGTGTTACTAATTTCATCTCTTAAAATAACCTCTTTGCAAAACTAAAGCAGTGCAATTTATTAGAACTTTCATAATATAAGTTAGAAAATTCAATAAGTCCTATATAGTGTTGTTATTTCCACAGTAAGTATAGGCCTATACATTAGATACATTAAGGCTCGATCATTATGAAGTTGTGCATTAAAGAAAAATAAAACATATACACATAGGCTGTAGCTATGAAAGTAAAAATATTTCAATGTAAAAAATTAATATAGCTTGTAATATTGCATATGTAAAAACTTGAAAATTAGTTTTACATAAGAATACAGTATATATGAGTGATAATTGACATATTACATGTACTTTATATATAGTTGTTAAAATTTTATTTTGCTTCATTGAAGTTCTGAAACCCACTTTCTCTAATCCTGTTTATAATTTTACTTTCAGTAGTTTGCAACTGTTGACCTGTAATTTTTGTATCCTGCATCTAAGTCTAGTTTCTTAATTCAACTTATTACTTGATGTAAAGTTAGTATACAATATTAATATTTTCAGTATTATGAATTTGGATGATGTTTTTGTCCCCATCCGAGTACCACACCTCGGTGGTCACACGCTCAGTGATGAACAACAAAACTCCTTTTTTCTAATCTTCTTACTATAATGGATGTCGCATATATGTTTGTATCTATGTATATAACCAAAACTACATAAAGTGGTGCAATCTATTGAATGCCACCACAAACAAAAATCCATAAAAAATTTCACATTTTGGGTATTCAAGATTCAGAGAGTTTGAAAAATAACTGTGGTATGGGCAACAACAATTTAATTATAATAGAACACAATTTTAAATAAAAGTACTCTCCCACAGAACAAGAACACAACTCTCACTAGGACTGTAGGTGAGGGTATGATTATATCTTTATATAAAAGCACTAAAGTTTATATCAGTAAAATTTATGAAAATTTTGAGGTCTGTTCATCAAATCATTTTGATGCAGTAAGTTGCACGTGACTAAAGAGAACAATCTGAACACTTTTCCCGTGCCTTATTTCCCAGAAAAAAAAATACTTTTTTTAGAAAATGTTTGCTTTTTTATTATAATTTTTTTAGAATTAGGTATGAATACTATGATTAGTAATTACTAGCACAAATGGCCACCTGTAAGGTGGTGTTTCTACTAGTTATTATAATTGTAAAATGAATAAATTATTTAAATGTGCAGTATGTAAAACAACAGATAAAGTTAAGAAAATAATAGTATAAGGAGAAAATGTAATTTTTATATTGTTATGGACACCCCTAAATCACTGGGTTCCCCTTCCATTGTGTAGACTGTAGGGCCCTAAGTTATGCTCCTGGTTCCTGCCCACAGTTTATTCTATATGCATTCTGAAAAAGTAATAAATTATTGACAAGAAACATATGAACCTGTCCCTTTCCTCTGCTTGTCAACCCATGGGCAAAAAAAATAAGCGCTTGTTTAAATGAAATTAGACCACCCGTGACCCATTGGGTCACCCACTATTCAGAGGTTATGAAGAATTCAAACTAATTTCAGTATTGCACCAAAATGAAGGTTTATTTTGAGATAATTTAATTAAATATTTCAATCCAATCGTGTTATTCATAATTCAAGAAAAGATATTTGATTGTTGATCACGAGTAAAAGGAAAGACCATTTCATTTTTCAAAAAAGTGAAGTCAGAGTTTTCAGGTATTGTGATGAACAAACCTTATTCTCAGTTGATTCAAAATGCCTGAAAATAAGAAATAACAGATAATATTAATGTTATTCATGGTTTATTAGAATGTAATTGCTATCAAAAAAAGCTATTTCAGAAAAACATTTCATACTTACTTGCTCAAATTACTGCAAGAAACCGCAAAACTTGATAACTGATACACTACGAAATCACAAAATGAAAAATATTTCTCACTGTCTCACAGCAAATAATTTTTTGACTGAGAAAATTTTCTCATTTCCTTACCTACCATAACCAAGGCACATTATTGAGAAATTC